AATGAATTGAAAAGTCCACGGTTTATAAGGTACAGCACTACTTTTTTTGTCCATTTCATCGTTTTCCTTAGAATGAAACAACACGAAAGGAAGTGTATCAGTTTCGTTGGTTTCCTTCCTTTTTCTGAGAGAGGGCATTTCTAAAAGCGCCTGGAACTTGAAGACGAAGACTATTTGAATGACCAAAATACAATGTAACTGCAATGCTTTATGGGTTCCTGCAATTATATAGTTTTTCGTAGATTGACCTGCACGGTTTCCACCAATGAGATCGCTTCATTCGGTGTGGACAAGACAATGTGTTGACATCTAAGGTCCATAACAGATGGCGCGTGAAAAACGAGAAAACTCGTGAGCGGTCCTTAACAGATGGCACGCGAAACACAAGAAAGCTTGTGAGCAGTACGAAAGGTGTTAAGAAAAAAATATTACCTTTAATACTATCATGTAGAAATAATCTCTGTTGACATTTTGGTGTATCACTTTCTTCTAGAAGTTTTTCAATATGGTCTTAGTTATGTTCATACAATTTTTCTACACAATAAGCTTCATCAACTTTATTTTATGAACACTGTAATTGCTGAATAATAGTCTTTCCTGTATTTACTACAAATTATTTAACTATTTCTATGTTGTCAAATTAAAACTTTTTTATAATAAATTTTCAACAAACATTTTTATATCCAGACTAGTAGACCATCGCGTGATATCGTGCTTAGTAGGTTGCCTGCCACTTCCACGGGAGCCAGCGGGTACCACAGCATGCTGCTGGGAGCCATGCTGCTTCCAAGGGAGGCAGGAGGGACCCGCATTCATTCTGTAGGAGCTGGGAGGGAGCCACACAGCTCCCAGGGGATCTGGGAGGGACCTGAGCCGATTCTGTGGGAGGCAGGAGGGACCTGTGCTGCTTCTGTGGGAGGCAGGCCTGCCATCTCCTCTCTAGGCCTGTGCTTGGCCACGAAGGCTGCGGGCTGGCCCCTCTGTCCCTTTCCGTGTCCACTCCAGCTCCAGGGGGCCGGCCCGAGCCAGGTGTGGCAATGAAGCAAGCATTCTGCCAGGCCACTCATGCTGCCCACTATCAGTGGCCACCCCCCACCCCCCGGGACTGGGGGACTCTGGTGGGGTTGAAAGGACTGGGCACTGCCATCTTGTGGCTATGGGCTCCACCATCTTTGTGATGGAGTAGCGGTTAATTTGCATATTACCCTTTTATTAGATAGGATTTTTTTTTAATTACATCTTTATTGTTCAGATTATTACATTTGTTCCTCTTTTCCCCCCCCATAACTCCCCTCCTCCCAGTTCCCACCCCAACCTCCACCCTCACTCCCCACCCACTGTCCTCATCCATAGGTGCACGATTTTTGTCCAGTCTCTTCCCGCATCTCCCACACCCCTTTCCCCACCAAGAATAGTCAGTCCATTCCCTTTCTATGTCCCTGATTCTATTATAATCAACAGTTCATTCTGTTCATCAGATTATTTATTCACTTGATTCTTAGATTCACTTGTTGATAGATGCATATTTGTTGTTCATAATTTGTATCTTTACCTTTTTCTTCCTCTTCCTCTTCTTAAAGGATACCTTTCAGCATTTCATATAATCCTGGTTTGGTGGTGATGAACTCCTTTAGCTTTTCCTTATCTATGAAGCTCTTTATCTGACCTTCAATTCTGAATGATAGCTTTGCTGGATAAAGTAATCTTGGTTGTAGGTTTTTGCTATTCATCACTTTGAATATTTCTTGCCACTCCCTCTGGCCTGCAAAGTTTCTGTAGAGAAATCAGCTGACAGTCGTATGGGTATTCCCTTGTAGGTAACTGAGTTTCTTTCTCTTGCTGTTTTTAAGATTCTCTCTTTATCTTTTGCTCTTGGCATTTTAATTATGATGTGTCTTGGTGTGGTCCTCTTTGGATTCCTTTTGTTTAGGGTTCTCCATGCTTCTTGGACCTGTAAGTCCATTTCTTTCACCAGGTGGGGGAAGTTTTCTGTCATTATTTCTTCGAATAGGTTTTCAATATCTTGCTCTCTCTCATCTTCTGGCACCCCTATAATTCTGATGTTGGTACACTTGAAGCTGTTTCAGAGGCTCCTTACACTATCCTCGCATTTTTGGAGTCTTTTTTCATTTTGCTTTTCCGGTTGGGTGTTTTTTGCTTCCTCGCATTTCAAATCATTGACTTGATTCTTGTGCTCCTCTGGTCTGCTGTCGGGAGTCTGTATAATATTCGTTATTTCAGTCCGTGTATGCTTAATTTCTAGTTGGTTCCCCAATATAACATCGAGGGTCTCATTAGTTTTCTTGTAGATCTCATTAAGTTTATCGGCGGCTTCTAAACAGTTCTTGAGAGACCTTAAAAGTGTGGTTCTGAACTCTATATCTTCCATTGACAATTTTGTCCTGTTTCTTTGTCTCCACATTTTGTTATGCTTCCTTGGTGCACCCCCTAGTGGTCTTTGTTCGCAATCTTATAATTAAACCTTGATTGTTGTAGCTAATACCAGGGAGGGTTTGACCTCCAGGCCAGGTGGCTATGAGAATCAGCTGTGTCAGCAGTGAGAGAACTTCTGTCCTCTAGGGAGGTGCTAATCTAGCCTTTGCCTGAGGCTATCCGGCAAATGCCTGTGTGCAGGGCTTGGGCGGGGCGGGTCGCACAGGATCAACAGGGTGGGCCGGAGAGAGCAGTTATGGCGGCTCTCAGTCCTGTCCCCAGGGGCTCTGCCTCTCTGAGTCCCAGCACCCACTGCAAAGCTCGCAGAGAAAGCTGCACTCGCTCTGACTGAAGCCAGACAGTCCGGCTTCTCCGGTTTGAGTCTGGGTCACTAAAGACTCGCCGGTATCTGGAGCTCAGAGTCTGCGACTCCCTCCCGATTGAAAACGCCAACCGCGCACTACGCACCTCAGAACTTGACTTCAGCACTGCGCCTCCTCTGAGTGTCCGTATGCGTTTCTCTTTCCTCCTAGTTGTAGGACTTCCACTCAGCCAGCGTTCCTGTGGTTCTGGGTGATGTCCCTTCCGTCTTTTAGTTTCACTTTTGAAGTAGTTGTTCAAAGCAGCAAACTCCGGCGTTAACCTATGCCACCATCTTGGTTCTCTCGACACTCTTTACCTAGATAGGATTTTTGTATGCACATTAAGTAATTTGCTTGAAGTTAATTTCTAGAGGTAGAATTACTGGAACAAGGACTCTAATCATTCTTAATAAGATTGTAAAAAGTAAAAGTAATACAGAGTATCATAGAAAATAAAACATAAAGAATTAAGACTACTTATGATCACACTTATCAGAGATAAACTCTATTTAGCTTTAGATATAATTTTTTATAATCTTTTTTTCTATTAGTGTATATGTGTGTCATTTTTTAAACAAAATTAAGATCATAATTTTGATCTTGTTTAAGTTTTATTGTGAACATTTTCCAGTTTTAAAAAGGCTTTCAAATGTTCATTTTAAAGGTTATATAACAATCTTTTAAAAAGATATACCGTTTTTGTTAACCACTACCCATTTTCAGACATATGTTCTTTTCAGTTTTAAAGTATTATTTTTTTACTATCAAAAATAAAAGTACAGTAAATTTTTTTATTTATAAATCTTTGTGTTTCTCATTATTTTCTTAGAATAGTCTCAGAAATGGAATTACCCGATCAAAGTATATACACATTTGTAAGGACATATATAAAGCCAAATGCCTTCTAGACAGTGTTACTAATTTACTGTCCATCCACAGTATACTTGGGTGCCAAAAAGTAATTTTGCTGAACTAGGTCTCAGTCTGTAGTTCATTGCTTTGAGGAAGCAGAGGTAATGGCTTCTACTTTCTATTTATCATTTTGTGGAAGAATAGGTGTTTCTTGAGATTGATTTTTGATCTGGCAGTTAAAGGGGCCTTAGCTATTTATATTTAGGCCCTGAAATAAGTTGTTGCATCTTGTTTTTTTAATCTTTATTGTTGATAGTATGACAAATGTCCCCTTTGATTGTTTGTTTTAATGTGTTCCCATTCACCTCCTCCACTCCACACCTGCCCTTCCCAGGCCTTCACCCCACTATTGTCTGTGTCCATGGGCTATGCATATATGCATGTAAGTTCCCCTATTAATTTTTTGCATCTTTGAGGGAGGAGATGAAAGGTGATTTCTCAAACTTTAATGAAGAGGCCTTTGGAGAATTTTGTTCTGGATGCTGTATATTTATAGGGAATGTTTGCAGACCCCAAAATTAGTAGAACTGAAGAGTAGCCAGAGAGTGATGTGTCAAATTGAGACTCAGTCTTTTGAAAAACAATGGGGAGAGAGTGGTAGCAGATATTTAGCTATGTTTCCTCTTATTTTTGATTCATTGGAAATAATTTCTTTCCAGTTAGATTGCCAATATTACATGGTGTCCCTGCCTAAGAGAAGGGCTGGAATATAGAGAAACTAAAAGAAATTGAGAGCTGTGGGATTAGGGTCATTGCTTTCTGTTCTTATGCTTTGTGCAGTGTCTCCTTTTCTTTTAGATCTCATTTGCCCTTGGGCCCTCTAGATCATATTTATTGATTAAGTAAATGAATACATAAATAGATGAAGAGTTGGGTAAAAAATAAATTTAATCAATACACAGATACCAGAATAAAAGAAAAATTATGAGAGAAATGTTTCTTTCATATTCAGTTTATCCATGATCTATTTTTTTCCTTAAAATTTCAATAAGCAGAACTTAAGGATGCACACATGTTTGCTGATAAGAAAAGTCAGCATAGTTTTTGATCCACAGCTTATGTCTACAAGAACATAACATCAATACTTTTAAAGGTAAATCAGTTTTTAATTTATTTCTTTTAAACCACTTTTTCTTCAGCTACTCAAGTGAAAATTGAATTACACTGTCGACTTCCCCTGCTGGGTACGAATGGGTGGAAGAGCAGAAAACCTGGGCTTGAACAGCCACAGGTTCCATTTGCCTCTCTTGCAGTGCCCTGATTGGTATCTTGAAATTCTCATGTTTTCCACAGGGGGCATTTCCAGCCCGTTTGAAGAAAGTGCTGATTGTGGGAGCACCCATATGGTTCCGAGTGCCCTATTCCATCATCAGCCTCCTCCTGAAGGACAAAGTCCGGGAGAGGGTAAGGCAAGCTAGCTTTATTTTATTTGGGGTGGATAGAGATTTCCATCTCTGCTGTTGAAACCTGCCAGTTTTCTACCTTCAAAAAAAATTCCTGTTGTCTTGTCTTCCAGAGCGCTTTCTGCTTTTGTCAGTGTATTCTCTGCTTTATTCTTTTTTTGTTGTTAGTCTTCACCCGATATTGATTTTTAGAGAGAGTGGAAAGGAAGGAGAGAGATTGAGAGAGAAAGAAACATTGATGTGAGAGAGACACATCGATTGGTTGCCTCACACATGCACCCCGACTTGGGGATAGAGCCTGCAACCGAGGTATGTGACCTTGACTGGAATCGAACCTGAGACCCTACAGTCCATGGGCTTATACTCTATCCACTGAGTCAAACTGACTAGGGCTCTGCTTTATTCTTTCTTGGCTCAGTACAAGCTGGCTCTCCCACTGCATTACAAGTTCCTTTGAAGTTAGTAACTGGACACTCTCCCATCATAGCATTTTGCATAAAAATAGTACTGAAGAAGTGTGTTCACTGAGTAACTTAGGGATAGCTACTACCAAAATTTAGCCTAGTACTATACAGACTTTTAATATTTAACAATCCTATCTAATAAAAGAGAAGCATGCAAATTGACCATACCTCCACTATGCCCACAAGCCACGCCCACCAGCCAATCAGAGCAACTATGCAAATTCACCCAACCAAGATAGCGGCTGGTGGCCACGGAACTGGAGCGAGCAGGAGGCTTGGGTTGCCCTGGTAATGGAGGAAGCCAAGCTTCCTGCTGGCCCTGGCCTGCCGTGGGCTGTGCTCAAGGCTACAAAGTTTCAATTATAGAGGAAAATAAATCCCAGATAGCTGCTTCCAGCCGGCCTGGTCTCTGCTCACAGAGGTGCTGAAAAAAAAAAAAAAAAAAGGAGAGGCTGGGAGCTTGGGTCGCTGCGGGGCTTGTCCAGCCTGCAAACAGCCATCAGCCTCTCACCCAGGCTGGCCACACCCCCATTGGGTGAGGGTCCCCTCTGGGGGGCTTTAACAGCCTTCAAACAGTCATCAGCCCCTTACCCAGGCTGGCCATGCACCCCAGTGGGAACCCCCACCCTGAAGGGGCTGTGGCCAGCCTGCAAACAGCCATCAGCCCCTCATCCAGGCTGGCCAGGCACCCCAGTGGGACCCCCCCCCCCCAACACACACACACACCCTGAAGGGGCTATGGCCAGCCTGAAAAGGGCCCTCAGCCCCTCACCCAGGCTGGCCAGGCACTCCAGCAGGACCCCCACCCTGATCCAGGACACCCTTTGGGGCAAACCAGCCGGCCCCCACCTGTGCACCAGGTCTCTATCCTATATAATAAAAGGGTAATATGCAAATTGACCCTAACAGCAGAACGACTGGTCACTATGACAGACACTGACCACCAGGGGCAGACTCTCAATGCAGGAGCTACCCCCTGGTGGTCAGTGCGCTCCCATAGGGGGAGCTCTGCTCAGCCACAAGCCAGGCTGATGGCTGCCAGCACAGCGGTGGTGACGGGAACCTCTCCCACCTCCTCAGCAGCGCTAAGGATGTCCGACTGCAGCTTAGACCTGCTCCCCGCTGGCAAGTGGACATCCCCCGAGGGCTGCCGGGCTGCCAGAGGGATGTCTGACTGCCAGCTTAGGCCTGATCCCCTGGGGATCGGGCCTAAGTCAGCAGGTGGACATCCCCCGAGGGCTCCTGGGCTGCCAGAGGGATGTCTGACTGCCAGCTTAGGCCTAATCCCCTGGGGAGTGGGCCTACGCCAGCAGGTGGACATCCCCCGAGGGGTCCCAGACTGCGAGAGGGCACAGGCCAGGCTGAGGGACCCCGCCCCCCGCCCTCCCAGTGCACAAATTTTTGTGCACCGGGCCTCTAGTGTATAATATAATTGCATTAGTTGAACAGGTGTTTGACTTTGTTCAACAAGAAATACCATTCAGTCCTAGACCACCAAGGGGGCAGAGAAGAATATTTCACTATGTCTCTTTCTACCTAAATTTCTGGCATTTTTCTTCAGTGCCTGGGCAAACCCTCTATCCACTGAGCCAAACCGGCCGGGGTATGGCATTTTCTTTTAAAACAGCTTGTTGCTTCCTAACTTCAAAAGTGTTATCTTAATTCCATTATTCTGTGAGTGTTCCAGGACTCAAAGATTATGGTTTTACTAATTCACTCAGTCATTTCTACCCTTGAAAGAAAGGGCATATGAAACATTGACACAATTGGATTTAAGATAATAAAGTTGTTGTGGGATGTTATCAGAGATTTTTGTAGTATAGGATTATGAGGTTATATGAATAATAACAATGCAGGTCTTTATAGTTGAGGTGACTTGAGTTGGCAAGGGGAAACTGATTTGCTTCTATGGAACTACTTAGGGACCTAATGACTCAGAGTAAGGGAGATCTTGCCTAATATAACTCTTTGAGAAGACTCCTTAGGCAAGTTTTTACACTTTTATATTCAAACATAAATGCGTGTATAAACTCAAAATATATTGAGGACCTTTACAATCTAGGCTCTGGGCCTTGGGAATGAAAAATTGCTGAAGACAGTCCTTATCTTAGAGGAGTTCATGGTCCTGCTGGGGACAGAGACAGACAAGTGCAGAGAGAGGAGCATGGCTCTGCAGGAGCATGCAGGAGAACATTGCCTGGGCAGATGTGATTCATGAGCTATAAGCTGTCCTTGAAGAGGCTGAGGAGGGAAAGAGGGCATTCCAGAAAAATGCAATAGCAAGAGAGGTCAGCACCTTCATTCCACATGGATTTCAAGAATAACCAACTAGGCTAATATTGTCCAGTATGGCTGGGTTCCAGCAGACAGCAGAATTAGGTATTGTGCTGACTTCCCCAGCATTTTCCCTGGGCTACCCTGTGTATGGGTGACTTGTCTTATGTTACTTTCATAGAAACCTATCTCTAAGAATATTCATACAAAGCTATGAATAAAGTAAATTATAGCAGGCTTAGTATAAAGTTGACAAAAATAACCACTACCTAGTCATTCTTGGTAGTCAAAAGATGAATACCCTCAGCAGATGTTACTGGGAAGCCTTGTTAATAGCATAAAATAACGCCTTTGTTCACTATACCTTCCTTTTAGAAGGTATATAATAGAGCACCTATTTTCAGGAGTGAATTTGCTATACCTTCTGGAAATTTGATATACATTCTCTGGGAAATTCAAAAGACTTCAATCCCAGACAGATGAAGTACAGTGTATTTTTACAAGTATACTAAATATTGCAAGTAAATTTCATCCTGTTCTCCAAACCTAATATTATTTTATATTAGTTTTAGGTGTACAGCATATTGGTTAGACAATCACAATTTACAGTGTAACTGCCCCCTCCACCCCCATAATTTAAGTGCCTACCTCGTACCATACATAATTATTACAATATTATTGACTATATTCCCTGTGCTGTACTTTGTGTCCCTGAAGCACATTTGTTCCTTTTTAGAAAAATATTTTTTATTGATTTCAGAGAGGAAGGGAGAGGGAGAGAGAGATAGAAACATCAATGACGAGAGAGAATCATTGATTGGCTGCCTCCTACATGCCTCCTGATGGGGATTGATCCCGCAACCCGGCATGTGCCCTTGACCAGAATCGAACCTGGAACCCTTCAGTGCACAGGCCAATGCTCTATCCATCAAGCCAAACCGACTAGGGCCACATTTGTTCTTTATCTTCATTATTTGTCTCACCCCCCATCCCCCACCACCCCACCCCCCACACACACAGACATACACATACTCACATGGTTCTTTCTGGCCTTCCAGATTCAGATATTAAAGACATCTGAGGTTACCCAGCACCTGCCCAGAGAGTGCCTTCCAGAAAACCTGGGTGGGTACGTCAAAATGGACCTCGCCACTTGGAATTTCCAATTCCTACCCCAGATGAATGGCCACCCGGATCCCTTCGATGAGATCATCTTGTTCTCCCTCCCTCCTGCTTTAGACTGGGACTCAGTGCATGTTCCAGGTCCTCATGCCATGACTATCCAAGAGCTGATGAATTATGTTAGCACCAGGCAAAAGCGGGGAATATATGAGGAATATGAAGACATTCGTCGTGAGAACCCTGTTGGCACTTTCCACTGTTCCAT